ATCCATGTTTCAATGCATCACGAAGACAAGAGTTCTGACACACTCAATATTGGTAATGGAAACGGCAAAGTCACATTACGTTGGGATAAAGCTGCAGGAAAAGCTCATGTTCATGCTTGGGTCAATGGTGCTCTTGGCAGCCCAAATGAAGTGAGATGGACTGTTCACCGTTGGATCAAAGCTTGAACTTCACTTTGTTTATATCAACAATGTGAAATTCAACCTTACTGTCTCGTGACCTTATTCAACTCGGTCTGATTATAAATGAACTAGATATATCATTGCAATATAAATGTTTTGGTTACTTCAATTTACATTTAATATAACCACGGTCGGAACAATTTAGAACTAATTTATACAGACTATAGTCCATAGTCTATATACTCTTCATTGCTACGAGAAAATAACTAGTCATGATCATGTCACGAGATTAATTAATTACACCTAAAATACATGCATGACCTTCCATTTCCGCTTGTGCGGCTTGTTGTCATTTTGGTATATTTGTTCTGTTAATACTGTAGCTGTTACCAAATAATAGTGAGCTAGACAAATACAGCGGCACCGTCAGTGAAACGCCATTAACAAGTTTCAAAGGCGACTATAAATTGTATTCCCTTGAGCATTCTGGTATGTCGTACTGTAAGTTCAAACCGCGACGTTAAATTATTTACATTATTTTCACGGCTCGTAACCACGCCAACAATTAAAACGTTCGAAGTTCGGGTGTTTTATTTCACTACTTCTATAGTTTTGTTTAAGAGTAAGACAAGTATTTTTGAGAGGCAAATAGAGTTTAGTGAATAGTGATATATGCTTTGGTTCGAATACAAAAATGTAAGTAATTTGGTCTTCTACCTTGCCGTTTCCGGTTGAGCAAATATACGGACAAGTTTCATTTGCTCGTCTGTATACACAACTTTGACAATTTTTACTGTGACAAGTACACTTGAGCTAGCATGGATCTATGCATGCTAGCTTTTGAACAAGTCACTTGTTCAGAAGCTAAAACAAAAGTAAAAATTGTCAAGTACAAATTTGGTCGTCTGTATGGGTCAACAAAGAAAACTTGTCAGAGTAATCTGGGCCAGTTGTTCAAAGGTGGGTTAGCGCTAACCCTTGGTTAAAATTTAACCTGCTGTTTTAGTTTATGTCAGTATTTCTGCACGTCTGTTTAATTCAAAACTTCAGAGAAGAAAACTCCTATCGACTCAGCCAAGATTTCTGAAGAAACATTTCCAAATTTATAGACAAGCTGTCAGGAAGTTTAGGTTAACCTGGGGTTAAGCTAACCTGTCTTTGAACAACCGGCTCGTGACTACTTGCATGCAGTTGGTCAGCGATCTACAGGGTGTCCCCCCCCCAAAAAAAAGAAACCCCGTTCCCCTATAGAAATCACTCTTTTGTTGTTAAAACGTGCATTGTTATACCTCTGGGAATTTAATATAGCTTCTAAAAAGAAAAGCAACACAAATATGTCAAATTACAAATTCGTCTTACCGTCAGTTCGAGTATATAAGAATGGTTCAACTGATTACACAGCAACGAGTATTTGTCGTAACAACTTATAGGTTAATTTAACGACAGTTATTTTAATAGATGGTTTGGAGACTCCATGGAAGTACAATATAACTCAGTAACTATGTTATTGTCCAGCTTTATGCAAGAATTTGGTCCTATCTCGTCACGTGCGTATTGTATTTTCGCTCAAATAACCAATAACAAGTTTGTGGTTGAGTTTAACTTATCCATCCGTAACTTGAACAAATGCTCAATTTAAATATTACTATTGGTTGTGCGGAAAAAAAATACTATACACACGTGACGAGATAGGCCCAAATTCTTGCATAAACCGAAACCAACATAGTTAATGAGTTATATTGTACTTTCATCGAGTCTCCAACCCATGTATTCTATTAACTGTGATTTAACGCAAAGTGTAACCGAAGCGTTAATAATTCCGCCGTTCATGTAAATTAAAGTAAATTCCCAAAGGTGTAATATAATAATAACACGCAAGATTGATTTCTAAAGGGGGATTTTTTGGGACACCCTATATTGTTGTAATAGATAATAATAGCTATTACAGCGGTCAGAAAGCCAAAAACTTGTCATAGAAAATTTGTTGCACATAGACAATTGCACTTGACAAATAAAACTTGCCATATAAAAACTTGTTACACAATTGCACTTCGCAAATAAAACTTGCCACATAAAAACTTGTCATAAGAAATTTGTTGCACATACACAGTGCACTTCGCAAATCAAACTTGCCATATCGAAACTTGTCATAGAAAATTTATTGCACATACACAAGTGCACTTCGCAAATCAAACTTGCCATATAGAAACTTGTCATAGAAAACTTGGCCGTCTGTAACCGCCTCAACAAATTATGCATTTTTCGCTAGATTTACGGAATGTTGCGAAATTTAAATTGTTGCTGTATTTGCACAAAACGCAGTAATATATCGGACTTCAGAGTGTCATAATGGGAGTTTTCGACGAGATCTCGAGCGCACAAGACAAAAGTGTGCAGTCTTATCTGATATTTAGTGAAGCGTGTAGTTGTGTCAACTGTGCCAGTAGATAGCAACATAGTTATATTATTCAGGTGTGCAAATTTAAGTTCTGGTCAAACGAGAGTGAGAGTTGAGAAGAGAGAGTTTGCATGAAAGTTGACTGGATATCACCGCGTAGAGAAAACTCCCATCAAAATTTCAACCAGTTCAAAGACAACTCTCAACAACCGGAGTCCTCGTTTAATCGGGGCTTTAGGGGATAATTCCAGAGCATTCACTTACCCCACAACGCAGTCTTCAATGCAATAGATGCTTTTCTACTCAACAAGACAGCGAGAAGCTCAACTGATTAAAATTATATTTTTTTCCTGATCCTTTTACAATAAGAACATGCTTGAAAACTGCTTCTTGACACATATTAGAAATTTTACTTCACAAAAAACGTTTTGTTCATTACATTCAAAAAAAATAAATTTGCCAAATTAAGCCCAGGAACATTCATAAAAATATATAGTTGGCCGAATTAAGCCCAGGAACATTCATAACAATATATAGTTGGCCGAATTACGCCCAGGAATTATGCTTAAACTGCCGCTCGAGGTATTTTCAAAATTTTCGTATGTTTGAGGACAAGTTGTAAGCTGTAAGAAGTCAGTTACAAACTTTTACAACATATACTTTAATTTTAAAAATTGTAATACCACTTTGTTGATGTGGGTGCAGATGGTTTCTCTAGCTTTGTTGATGTGGGTGCAGATGGTCTCTGGCTTTGTTGATGTGGGTGCAGATGGTCTCTCTGGTTTGGTTGATGTGGGTGCAGATGGTCTCTCTGGCTTTGTTGATGTGGCTGCAGCTGGTTTCTCTGGCTTTGTTGCTGCAGGTGCAGATGGTCTCTCTGGCTTTGTTGATGTGGGTGCAGATGGTCTTTCTGGCTTTGTTGCTGCAGGTGCAGATGGTCTCTCTGGCTTTGTTGATGTGGCTGCAGCTGGTTTCTCTGGCTTTGTTGATGTGGGTGGGGGTGGTTTCTCTGGCTTTATTGATGTGGGTGGGGGTGGTTTCTCAGGCTTTGTTGATCTGGGTGTTGGTGGTTTCTCTGGCTTTGTTGATCTGGGTGTTGGTGGTTTCTCTGGCTTTGTTGATGTGGGTGTGGGTGGTTTCGCAGGCTTTGTTGACGTGGGAAGAGATCGTTTGTCTGGCTTTAACGATGTCAGGGCAGGTGGTCTCTCTGAAGTGGTTTCTGATGCTCGCTGCATATTTATTGACATGGGTACATGTGGTTTCTCCGACTTTCTTAATGTGATTTCTGGCGGTCTCGCAGCATTTGTTGAAGTGGTTTCTGTTGGTCGCTGCACAATTATCGATGTAGGTGCAAATACTTTCTCTGCATTTGTTATAGACTCAATATCCATTGCAACAGAGTCAGCCATCTACTTTGCTATATGTCGAAGTCTTCTTTAATAACAGCAATTATCAAAAACGATTTGGTGATCTTTAAAAATGTTATAGATCACAGGCAATTTTATATTTACTTGCTGAACAATTTGACTTGTTTACCGTTAGAAATGAAAAAGAAACTGGTTTCATTTTCACCCAACAACTTTAATAAAAAAGAGCCGATTTCAATTTCGATATAAACAATTACAGTTTTATCATGGAGTATATTGGCAGAACCATTGAGTATACTGCTGAACAGAAATTTAACTTTTGTAACGATATACAGTATTTTTCAAGCTTGCCCGGTGTGGATATACAAAAAAATCATGATTACAAGATTATATTGATATCGAACGAACTAGACTCAGTTCCGAAATATCACATACTCGAACCAACCTGACCGCGTAGCTCAGTTGGCAGAGCATTGGGCTAGTATTCCAAAGGTCGTAGGTTCGATTCCCACCGTGGCCAGGCATATTTTTCAAGCTTGCCCGATGTGGATATACACTCAGAGTAACATCACAAACATCAAACCACCAAGACAAAAAAAATCTCATCAAAATTCCAACCAGTTCAAAGACGATGAGAGTTGATGAGAATTGACGAGAGTTGGAGGTCTAACGCGAGCAAGAGGTGCAACTCTCAACAACCCTCATCCTCGTTTGATAGGGGCTTTAGGGGATAATTCTCGCGCATTCACTTACCCCACACTGCAGTCTTAGTTTCGATGCAATAGACTCTTTTCTACTCAACAAGACAGCGAAAAGCTCAACTGATTAAAATTATATATTTTCCTGATCCTTTTACAATAAGAACGTGCTTGAAACCAGCTTTTTGACACACATTAGAAGTTTTACCTCACGAAAACGTGTTGTTCATTACGACATTCATAAAAAAAGTTGGCCGAATTAAGCCCAGGAATTATGCTTAAACTGCCGCTTAAACTATTTTTTATGGTGTAAGCGGTTTAGTCTATATTACAAACTTTTACAATATATAATTTAATTCTAAAAATTCTAATACCACTTTGTTGATTTGGGGGCAGGTGGTTGCTCTGGCTTTGTTTATGCGGCTACAGATAGTTTCTCTGGCTTTGCTAATGTGGCTGCAGGTGGTTTGTCTGGCATTGTTGGTATATGTGGAGGTGGTTTCTCTGGCTTTGTTGATGTGGCAACAGGTAGTTTCTCTGGCTTTGCTAATGTGGCTGCAGGTGGTTTGTCTGGCTTTGTTGGTGTATGTGGAGGTTGTTTCCCTGAGTTTGTTGATGTGACTGCAGGCGGTTTGTCTGGCTCTGTTGATGTGGTTTCAGGTGGTTTGTCTGGTTTTGTTGATGTGGCTGCAGGTGGTTTGTCCTGCTTTCTTTTTATGTGGCTGCAGGTGGTTTGTCTACCTTTGTTGATGTGGCTGCAGGTGGTTTCTCTGGCTTTGTTAATGTGGCTGCAGCTGGTTTGTCTGGCTTTGTTGATGTGGGAGCAGCTGGTTTGTCTGGCTTTGTTGACATGGTTGCAGGTGGTTTCTCCGACTTTGTCAATGTGGCTGCAGCTGGTTTCACTGGCGTTGTTGGTGTGGCTGCAAGTGGTTTCTCTGGCTTTGTTAATGTGGGTGCAGCTGGTTTGTCTGACTTTGTTGATATGGTTGCAGGTGGTTTCTCTGGCTTTGCTGATGTGGTTGCAGGTGGTTTCTCCGACTTTGTCAATGTGCCTGCAGCTGGTTTGTCTGGCTTTGTTGATGTTGATGTTGATGTGGCTGCAGGTGGTTTCTCTGGTTTTGTTGACGTGGCTGCAGGTGGTTTCTCTGGCTTTGTTGATGTGGCTGCAGCTGGTTTGTCTGGTTTTGTTGATGTGGGTGCAGGTGGTTTCTCTGGGTTTCTTAACGTGGCTGCAGGTGGTTTCTCTGGCTTTGTTAATGTGGCTGAAGCTGGTTTGTCTGACTTTGTTGATGTGGCTGCAGCTGGTTTGTCTGGCTTGGTTGATATGGCTGCAGGTGGTTTCTTTGGCTTTGTTGCTGTGGCTCTAGGTGGTTTCTCTGACAATCTTGATATGATTGCAGGTGGTTTCTCTGGCTTTGTAGATATGGTTGCAGGTGGTTTCTCTGGTTTTGTTGATGTGGCTGCAGGTGGTTTCTCTGGCTTTGTTAATGTGGCTGAAGCTGGTCTCTCTGGCTTTGTTGATGTGGCTGCAGGCGGTTTGTCTGGCTTGGTTGATATGGCTGCAGGTGGTTTCTCTGGCTTTGTTGGTGTGGCTCTAGGTGGTTTCTCTGACTTTCTTGATATGATTGCAGGTGGTTTATCTGGCTTTGTAGATATAGGTGCAGGCGGTTTCTCTGGTTTTGTTGATATGGGTACAGGTGGTTTCCCTGACTTTGTCGATGTGGGTGCAGGTGGTCTCTCTGGCTTTGTTGATGTGGCTGCAGGCGGTTTCGTCGGATTTGTTGATGTGGCTGCAGGTGGTTTGTCTGGCTTTGTTGATGTGGTCGCAGGTGGTTTTTCTGGCTTTGTTGTGGCTGCAGGTGGTTTCTCTAACTTTGTTAATCTGGGTGCAGGTGGTCGCTCTGGCTTTGTTAGTGTGGGTGCAGCTTGTTTCTCTGGCTTTGGTAATGTGGCTGCAGGTGGTCTCTCTGGCTTTGTTAATGTGGGTGCGGCTCGTTTCTCTGGCGTTGTTGATGTGGCTGCAGGTGGTTTGTCTGGCTTTGTTGATGTGGCTGCAGGTGGTTTCTCTAGCTTTGTTGATGTGGCTGCAGGTGGTTTCTCTGGCTTTGTTGATGTGGCTGCAGGTGGTTTCTCTGGCTTTGTTGATGTGGCTGCAGGTGGTTTCTCTGGCTTTGTTAATGTGGCTGCAGGTGGTTTCTCTGGCTTTGTTGATGTGGTTGCAGGTGGTTTCTCTAGCTTTGTTGATGTGGCTGCAGGTGGTTTGTCTGGCTTTGTTGATGTGGCTGCAGGTGGTTTCTCTGGCTTTGTTGATGTGGCTGCAGGTGGTTTTCTGGCTTTGTTGATGTGGCTGCAGGTGGTTTCTCTGGCTTTGTTGATGTGGTGCAGGTGGTTTGTCTGGCTTTGTTGATGTGGCTGCAGGTGGTTTGTCTGACTTTGTCGATGTGGCTGCAGGTGGTTTCTCCGGCTTTGTTGATGTGGCTGCAGGTGGTTTCTCTGGCTTTGTTGATGTGGCTGCAGGTGGTTTCTCTGGCTTTGTTGATGTGGATGCAGGCGGTTTTTCTGGCTTTGTTGATGTGCCTGCAGGTGGCTTGTCTGGCTTTGTTGGTGTGGCTCTGGGTGGTTTTTCAGGTTTTGTTGATGTCGCTGCAGGTGGTTTGTCTGGCTTGGTTGATGTGGTTGCAGGTGGTTTGTCTGGCTTTGTTGATGTGGCTGCAGGTGGTTTGTCTGACTTTGTCGATGTGGCTGCAGGTGGTTTCTCCGGCTTTGTTGATGTGGCTGCAGGTGGTTTCTCTGGCTTTGTTGATGTGGCTGCAGGTGGTTTCTCTGGCTTTGTTGATGTGGATGCAGGCGGTTTTTCTGGCTTTGTTGATGTGCCTGCAGGTGGCTTGTCTGGCTTTGTTGGTGTGGCTCTGGGTGGTTTTTCAGGTTTTGTTGATGTCGCTGCAGGTGGTTTGTCTGGCTTGGTTGATGTGGTTGCAGGTGGTTTGTCTGGCTTTGTTGGTGTGGCTCTAGGTGGTTTTTCTGGCTTTGTTGATGTCGTTGCAGGTGGTTTGTCTGGCTTGGTTGATGTGGTTGCAGGTGGTTTGTCTGGCTTTGTTGGTGTGGCTCTAGGTGGTTTGTCTGGCTTTGTTGATGTGGCTGCAGGTGGTTTGCCTGGCTTGGTTGGTGTGTTTGCAGGTGGTTTGTCTGGCTTTGTTGCTGTGGCTCTAGGTGGTTTTTGTGGCTTTGTTGATGTCGTTGCAGGTGGTTTGTCTGGCTTGGTTGATGTGGTTGCAGGTGGTTTGTCTGGCTTTGTTGGTGTGGCTCTAGGTGGTTTGTCTGGCTTTGTTGATGTGGCTGCAGGTGGTTTGTCTGGCTTGGTTGGTGTGGCTGCAGATGGTTTCTCTGGCTTCGTTGGTGTAGCTGCAGGTGGTTTGTCTGACTTTGTTGGTGTGGCTGTAGGTGGTTTGTCTGACTTTGTTGGTGTGGCTGCAGGAGGTTTGTCCGACTTTGTTGATGTGGATGCAGGTGGTTTGTCTGACTTTGTTGATGTGGATGCAGGTGGTTTCTCTGGCGTTGTTGATGTGGTTGCAGATGGTTTCTCTGGCTTTGTTGATGTGGGTGCAGGTGGTTTCTCTAGGTTTGGTGATGTGGCTGCAACTGGTTTCTCAGGCTTTGTCGATGTGGGTAGAGGTAGTTTGTCTGGCTTTAACGATATCAGTGCAGGCGGTCTCTTTGCAAATGGTCTCTCTGAAGTGGTTTCTGATGCTCGCTGCACATTTGTTGACGTTGGTGCATGTGGTTTTTCCGACTTTCTTAATGTGATTTCTGGCAGTCTCTGCTCATTTGTTGAAGTGGTTTCTGGTGGTCGCTGCACAATTGTTGACGTTGGTGCGAATGCTTTCTCTGCATTTGTTACAGACTCAATATCCACTGTAACAGAGTCAGCCATGTACATTGCTATATTTTGAACTCTTCGCTTCTTTGATAACAGCAATTATCAAAAAAGCATTTGGTGATCTTTAAAAAAGCTATAGACACAGGCAATGTTATACTTTACTTGCTGAACATTTTGTCTTGTTTACAGTTACAAATGAAAAAGAAACTGGTTTCATTTTCGCCCAACTTCCAAGAAAACGACAAAGCTTTTCTCCGACCTCATGTAAATAATTTTATTATTTTTTGAATGAACTGTTCTCCTGCGGAGTTCTGACAACATAATCTGCTTTTCAATATCAATTCATACAGTTACCACCAAATTGCTGCCACTCGAAACACAAGCTAATTCCAATATATTGTATTTAAAATGTTCGTGGATAAGTTATGTGACACATGAGAACAGGGGTGAACATATTTGCAGTCGTTTGCGTCTACGAATGTACAGTAGCAGATGACAGAAAAATTGCTCATGCTGACGTTAGTCTCCCTCGCAGCCGCTCTTTGTGTCGTTCCTCCCCACGACGTTTAAAGACGTTTAAGTTTTCTCAGAGTTTAAAATCATTAGCTTTATTCACTCAGCATATATACCATGCACTAGTCACTTGCTTAACTTCGGGTCAAAGGCGACACAAACAGACTGTAAAATAATCCATCATAATATTGTCACTGACTCATTGTTGTGAAACAAGATACTATTTGTGTATGCTTAATTTGTCAAGGTCGATTGATCTCCAATCAGCACATTAGACATTGCTCAGTGGAAACGTACACTTTTACTATAGTACATGTACTTATTGCTGCGGAAGGGACCGAGCCTGAAGTAAGCGAGCTGTAGATGGGGATTTTTATCTCAAAACATTCTAGCGCAGTGCATTGTCGTCATGCGCGATCGGATATGCGCAGTAAGCTATTTTTCCGTGGTGCTTCCACGCCGTGGAACCTTGCGTTCCCAGACATTAAGACATGTAAAGGCATACTAGACTTACATTGATTTAGTTCACTGTTCAGCACAATTTTTTGAAGCAAGATAGTTCTGCTTTGCTTATAAAAACATGTTGATAAATATTTGATAATCAGATACGTTTCTTTCTTTTATCCAATTTTATCCTTAATTCGAATTTGGACGTTTTAATATTCACGTGGAAGCACAAGTATTGAAAGACCTTCGGCAGTCCGGCTTCCGATCTATGTTCTTTCTGCGACGTTCATACACGGTGTGAGGTTTGCTACTTTGGCTACTCACACGTCAGTTCTATATTATTATAAAGTTTTGGTTTCTTAGTGTAATAAATCTGTGTATATAATGTGGTAAATGCACCAGCAGTAAACAAACTTGATATGGAATCCGATAACTTGTGTTATATAATTAATTTACCTGTATATTTTCCCTGGCTCACACCTCACTAGACACTAGTTGCTGCGAGCAATAACTGTGCTTTATATAATTTGTACTATTCAGTTCTATTTGCTTTTAATGCCCGCAGCAATCCCTACTTTGCAGGTGCCCTAGTAATATGTATAACTCAATGGTTGCTACGTTGACAACGTGTCCCTAAAATTATGAAATATTCATGAAGCGTGTGAACGTTGCAGGGTGATCAGTCCTTAATTGTGGACTGTTGAGAACAATTTTAAAACTCTACTATTTTAAATTTTAGAACTTTGTCAACGTTCCTGTATTTTACTCTTCAGATTTCACGAATCATGTTTTTTCCACGCGTGGAGGTCTCAAACTTGAGGGAAACTAAAAATGCAATGTCAGCTTTTATTTATTCATTATCAATGCGTCTAGTTTCACGATAAGCACGAGGTAGGTTTTCTCATTTTAAATGTTTACCAAAGCAATAATAGTTATGCCAGTGTAAATTATCTTTATAGAAATATTTATAAAAGCCTTATACTTGGTTTCAAATACTTTTTTGTGAGAAAATGCATGCATTTGTAACAAAAACCGCCATATTTTAGCATTGTCCAGTATATTGGACATTGTGCATTTATGTAATGGAAGTATTGTAATGTGTTATATAATTGCATAATATGTATTTACTTCGCATTTGCAATTAAAAATTAGGATGTTTTCTACTTGTTTTGTAAATATGTATGCACATACTTAGGTCATTTTATGGGTCTGTTCAACCAGTTCCACTTCCACATGCAGAAATGAGTGAAGAGTCAGGACGAAGTGATTCGGAGGACGAGGTCTATATCGCGTGAGACAAGGAAACAACAGATTCCTCCTCAGGTGTGCACAATAAAAATACGTAGAGTAAACAATCATAAATCTAATTTACTTACATATTTGATGCCATCGATTTCGTAAGTGCTCTCTACCAAGTGAAAATGATGAAAGAAAAGTGGCAACAGAAAATATTAGCAAGGGGAAATCAGTAGTGGTAACATCATGGTATGATAACAAGAAAGTAATGATGATTTCCAACTTTGTTGGAAAAGAGCCAGTGGGCAAGTGTACCCACTATGACAAAAAAAGAAAAGGTGAATTTTCCACGACCAGCCTCTGCCGATTTATACAATAACTATATGGGTGGGGTTGATAAATCGGATATGTTGTTGGCCTGGTATCGCATCAAATATAGGTAAAAAAAGTAATACCAAAAAATAGCATTACACCTTCTCAGCCAGTATGCTGTCAATGCCTGGATCAAGAAAAATGAAAATGAAATGACAAGGAAATGGAAGGAACACAAAGTTATTTGAACTTCCTCACTGATATTTGCATCACTCTTCTGTTGGGAAACCCACAATACAGTGGGTCTGATGATGCCCAGCCAACACCGAAGAAAAGAATGAAAGCTGCTGATGTTCCTGAAAGTGTCAGATATGATAAATATGATCATTGGCTAATTCTAATGGATATACCAAATGCGCAGAGATGCAAAATGGAGGAATGCAAAAGAAAAAAATGTTTAGTTGCAGCAAGTGCAAAGTTTACTTATGCGTCAACAAGGGCACTTGCTTTTAAATTGTCATGGCAAATAATTCTATATATACTGTTATAATATCTTAGTTGCCAAAAAATATAGTTACATTGACTCAGCAAATGCTATGCTTCTAGATATTTGTACATAAATATATTAAATGACCTATTAATAACATAGAACTATTTCGAATGAATTTATGTCTAAGACGGATTTGCCCCCCCCCCCCCTCCGAAAATATTGTTAAGTGGTCATTCCCCTTTAAATCGTGAATTTCGAAAAAAAATCAAAAAATTTTCCCCGAGCCGACGGCGCGAAGCGCCGTGCGAGGGTACTAATTCCCCCCGGCTATTTACACCCGGGGAAACGAAAGCATTAGCGGAGTCTAAAGTTCATCAAATATCGCGGGCGTGGGTCACCAACGGTGTTGGGTGGGTGGTCATCCTCACTGATCTCAAAAATATGGCGGACTGTCACGAATAGCGGACACTGATTGGTCCAATTTAAAGTTTGCATTATAACGACTGCATGACGACAGCGATTCAGCGAAATAGCAAACATTTTTTGAGTTGATTTGATGATTGTTGAATTTCTTGCAAATATATTTCATTTTTGCTCGCATTTTTGCAAGATTTTGTAAATTTCAAAAGCTCTCTGAGAAAGGAACTGCGAAAGAATCGGCTAAAAGAAGGGAGCCGACGTTAACGAAGGTAAGTTTGTTTTAAATATTGATTTTATAATGGATTTAAAACCCGACGGCCTTTGCGTATATGAAACAACTAAACAAGACAGCATATAATTTCAGTGTATCTTTAATATTGATTCCCTTTTTTATGATATTGAAATTTTTAAATAAATAAGAAAGCAAACTTATTTGCAAGCGAGAATTTTAAATCATTTTATTGCAAACTCAAAGTTTATTGATAAAGCCATTTTAAAAGGCAGTTTAGTTTTATATTAAAGAACACTAATGACTTTAAAACGCTTTGCGAAGCGTTTGTGGTTGAATTTTACCTTAAATCGAGGCTTATATTACGTATAATAACATACCTAAGATATATATGTTGGGAAATTAATAATTTTGTGATTAAAAGTGATATTTATAAGCGATTTTTCATTTGTAAGAATATTCTTAAAAAATTATCGTGTTACCATGACAACTTAGATACTTCATGTTCGGAAAATACAATGGTTTTGTCTGCAAGGCGAGGGTTTCTGCATGCATGTATTTTCTAGTTTATACTATAAATAGGTACATTAGGTATTATACTTTAAGATAACATGTGTTTTTTGCCTTTTTTTAAAAAAGTTGCTGTAAAAGTTTAGAATTACCTATCTTGTGTTGTTCTGGTTGAAATTCGAAGTAAACAGATGGGAAATTTAAGAAATCGATCAAGAACAAAGCGAAAGATTCCACCGTCAAGAAAACGAGTCACAAACCAAGATGGTGGACCAAAGTATAAAGATCCTGGACCTTCTGCGAAGATTGGCAAGAATACGGAAGCGCTTCGTGATATGTCGAAAAACATTGTAGTACTTTGAAAGAAGGAACTATATTTATGGACTTATTCATACTATTCAATGTATTTAACGTCTTGAAATGCCCAGATTGTGGTTGTGATATCGACTCACATGTTGACATGAAGAAGAAATATTCGAACTACATTGTGTTACAGTGTAAAAATATGGAGTGTGGCTGGAAATATTCTTTTAATTCTTCAAGAAAACAAGGTGGTTCCTATGAAGTGAATGTAAGAGCAGTCCTGGCTTTTAGGGAAATTGGCAAAGGACATAATGCCATGACTACATTCACCAAGATGATGAATATGCCTGCTCCACCAACCCGACGGAACTTCACAAAAATCCAGAATGAAAAAGTTTTGCCAGTTGTGAAGAAGCTGGCTAATGATAGCATGGTCAACAATGCTTATAAGATCAGAGATGTGAGTGGAAATGATGACAAAGATTGTCGATTGTCAATCGATGGGACATGGCAGAAGAGAGGATATTCGTCACACAATGGGGTTGTTACGGTGATCTCCTTGGATATGCAGAAATGCCTGGATGTCGAAGTGTTCAACTTGGTCAATGAACCAATTTTTTAAGGTATCAGACAAGAGTCGGCAATGCCAAAAGTGGGGGCAAAAGATTCAAGATCCAAGGTACAAGGCATCCCACAAGTGCAAGATCAACCACGAAGGAAGTGCTGGCAGCATGGAGACAGCTGGGGCTGTTAGAATTTTTGAACGGTCGCTTGCTACACGAGGGCTGAAGTATACCAAAATGCTTGGAGATGGTGACTCCTCAACATACAGCACCATTGTTGAAAGGGAACCATATGGCGAGGATTGCATTCCAGAAAAATTGGAGTGCATTGGCCATGTCCAGAAAAGGGTCGGAAGTCGTTAACGCGGAGACTGAAGACTTCTAACAAGGGATTGAAATTGGCTGATGGTAAAGGCTTGGCTGGTAAAGGTAGACTGACAGATGCTAAAATAGACATATTACAAAACTGTTACGGTCTGGCAGTCAGAGAAAACCTGGATAATGTTGATAATATAGACAAGTAGATTGAAGCGTCTCTTTATCATGTTGCGTCAACTGCTGAGAATCCACAGCATCATTGTAGTAGACAATGACGTAACAGTGACATTCTAGAACATTACCTTATATGGCATGCAAGGAAGAATAATATTTTCGATAACCACTGAGTATTCTAATAAAATACAAAACAATGGAAACTCCGAAGAAATTCATATTTTTAATTCAACGTTTCGACTACTGTTGAGTCATCATCAGGAATTATGAAAGCTACTAAAATTTTACAAGTTATAAGTACAGGAAGAAGAAAGAAGAAGAAGAATATATATAGTAAGAAAGACACGAGTTGTAGAGACAGAGATATAGCGAAGATTGTCATGGTTGAGAATAAATAAATGATAACTAAATATTATTTCAAAGAATATTATTACATTGGCGACGAGCGATGGTCGATCAGGCTGAACAACAACCACAATTTCATGTGAATACACAGTCAGTGTCAATTCAACCTTTACCCGAATTTTCACCAGACGCGGAAATTGGTTCAAGTTTGGCTGCCAAATGGAAACTTTGGATAGAAGATTTCGAAATGTTTATATTGGCTAGTGGCATAACCGATCCGAAGCGAAAACGTGCTTTACTCCTTTACCAAGCAGGACAACGCGTTCGAGAAATATTTCGCCAGCAGCAAGATACAGGAACTGAGTCAGACTATGATACGGCAAAAACAAAACTGCAAGAATACTTCGAGCCTGAGCAAAATCGGCGCTATGCGGTATATCAATTCCGCCAGGCGAAACAAGAACCACAAGAAACTCTTGACCAATTTCACACGAGACTCAGATCGCTAGCTCAAACATGTGCATTTCATGATGTCGATTTTGAGATCGAACAGCAGATCATCACAGCCGGAACATCGTCACGCATTCGCAAACGTGCACTGAGGGATCCTACTTGTGACTTAAAGTCTATACTTTTGGATGGGCGTCGAGCGGAACAAAGTGAGTATCAAGCCCGTGACATAGAGTCGAAGGAACAGAGTACAGATGGCCTTCACAAAGTTCACACAACGCCAAAGCGTACAACGTGTCGAAACTGTGGCGGAATTTACCCTCATGAAGGACAATGTCCGGCGAAAGGAAAGCAGTGTCGCAAATGTGGTAAGTGCAATCACTTTGCTCGTGGACAGTCAAAATTTAACAGTCAAAATTAAAAACAAAATAATACAGTATTAAACAAATGGCGCACTACGTCGTGGTTTTAGGTTCTGCAAACAAACAACAACAAAAGATCTATTGTATGGTATGTACGATGTAATCATTGTTTTACTGTTTATTGTATACACAGGTCTGGAAAATTTAATAGATGAGAGTTTCAAATCGCCCATAACCTCACGTATATTTTTCGTTTGATAGCCACTATAATTATAACCAGGAGCTAGAGTATAACCATGCACATGTCGAAGTACAACCATTGTATACAATGCAGTGCTCGATGTTACATGCAACAGTGCACAAATTACAGGATGACTTTATTATATAAATCAACACTAGTACTAATTGACTTTCCTAGTCTCCTACTGTTGTTCTAATTAACAGCAATTAGGCTTTGAGAAGCCATGTAGATTATAGATTAATTTGTAGCCCAGCCTCCATAGTCCATATAAATTGTAGCCCAGCCTCCATTTACACCAATAATGAAATTAACTCATTCTGGTAACTAGCTCAATTTTGTTGCTGGTAGTGTATGGGATCTATGGGTCTTTCAGATCCCAGAATTACCTAATTATTGTAAAGTCTGCATAAAGCAGAAAAAGGCTCTGTTTTTGTCAATGACCGGTGCCTATTGAGTAACCAAATATTGTCAGCCTAATCCACTTATTTGATTGCTAATTCATGTTGCATTACTTTTGATTGCGAAGCACCTGGATTACATGATTTGCCCGTAAAATAGCAGCAATTGATAAACTTGAGTACATGGACTGAATGTATCAAACAGAATGCATGTTGGCGATTTTAGGCGATTTAAGAGAAATTCGACAATTTTAACCCGCGATTTAATGCGATTATAGGCGATTTACCGCCCCAGAGTAGGCCTAACGGACGATGATCACGATGAACGACGTACGGCAACGCAGAATAGAGTAAACAGGAACGGTAACAACACGGAACAAGTGGGCGAGCACAGAGGTCTACGCAGGTCACAAAGAGTTAGAGGAAAACCGGTCAGATTTGGACAGTCGGTATATGATTGACATTATTTATTAATATAATAACCTATTTGTTTTGTTTTGTTTTGTTTTGTTAAAAAAAAGGGGGGTGATGTAGTACACAATGACGTAACAGTGACATTCTAGAACATTACCTTATATGGCATGCAAGGAAGACACGAGTTGTAGAGACAGAGATATAGCGAAGATTGTCATGGTTGAGTATAAATAAATACTAACTAAATATTATTACAAAGAATATTATTACAATCATCTCTGCCCGGAAGGAGAGGACAGTTTGTGTGGGTATAATAGAGAAAAGGGGGGATATAATTATAAGAATGGAATTCCAAGCTGCATTGTTGAGCTGATCAAGCCCATATACAAGGACCTAAGTAATCCTGTCCTATTGAGTAAATGTACTCATGGCTTGACGCAGAATGTCAACGAATGTCTGAACGGGCTGATCTGGGATAGATATCCAAAGACTATTTATGTAGAGTAAGAAAGCCTGGCTCTTGACACCTACCTGGCCATCTTAAAATTTAATGATGGCGACATTTCTTTATTGAAGTTACTTTCTGACCTGGATATAACTCCTGGTATATTTACCGGTAAAGGCGCTGAAAATTCCGACGATTCAAAAATTCTATTACGTCATTAGCTATAGCCGTTACGTAGTTGTAGGAGAGACAGCACCGCGCATGAATAAACCAGTTGTACTTGTTCATGAAGACCAGCGAGTACGCGTTTCTCTTGGCTCCGTGGATTTTCGAAGATCTGTTGACTATCTCGTATTCAGCTAAGTTTACAATTTACTTGTATTTATTTTATTACTATATTGTTTAAAAATGTCTGACGTTGAGCAAGACCCTGAGGTTTTTTCACATTCAGATATTCCGTCCGACACGCCCATGTGGTTGACTATTCTTTCAAACCTTCAAAAAAGGGCATGGTCAAAACCACAAAATTATTAGGCGAAATGCGCGCGGACCGTATGTCCGCACATTCCTCCGCCAAACCTGATTCACATGAATCAGTATTAACCGCTCCAGAGGGAGCAGATACACCAGCTCCAGAGGGAGCACACACGCCAGCTTCAGAGGAAGTCATACCATCAGGCTCAGAAGAAGCCAATAACTCTCGTTCGGCGGACGAGCCATTACAATACCAACGGGATAATGACGATGATGTGTTGAGTCTATTTGCGGACAATAATCTTGACGTAGATAATGATAGTTTACTCGAGTCTATTGATTAATCGTTAAGGCCGTCAGATTCTTTAGGCCCCTCGGTGGCAGAGAAAGTAGCCAAGCTAGTAAATGAGAAATTCTCGATTGATTTAGGCGTCGAAAAAGGAAAGAGATTTTCAAGAAATTTGCAAAATGTTGCGATTCACGTTATCGAAAGAATTTATAGCCTTTTTTCAGTTTAGTTTTCTCAGCATTATCGACATACAATTCCTCCACTAGGAAATCAAAGGACGAACGATGTTAGCTTGAATGACCTTCGCCAGAGATGCGCAGAAAAAGGCCTGTCGACGAAAGGGCGCAAGGCAACATTGATATCTCGGCTGCAAGAACACGCCGCCACAATTCCTGCTTCTGCCACGTCTTGGCCGCCGACAGATATGGATGATACTCAACGCCATCTACATCGTCTCCCGGAGAAATTCCACAGAATACAAGCCTGCTAAACGACGCACAAATGACCCAGATTCGACGGCGACTGCTCAACAATATTATAACATTGAAAATGAAGACGAGTCAAACGCGAGGGTTGCCCAATTTATCCAACGCCTGACAGAGGGATACTCGCCACCAAGGGTGGATGTGCGTGCAGCGGACACGGAGGAGGAGGATGAAGAAGAGCCACATCCAACGACAAAAGAGAAGGAAGAACGGCCGCAACCCAAATGTCAGGAGGAGGGAGACGTAGCCCAAGATGAGGAGGATTCGAAAAGTTCCGATTCCGAAAGTTCAATGCACAAAACATTAAGCAGAGAGTCGAGCTTCTATCCGTATTTGATGATAACCTAAAACGTGGGAGATCCACATATAAGCACATTGTGCAGGCAAGGATGTGCCGGAACCGCATCTTGAAAGGTGTAGACGCAGATGTGGCTGTAGAGTACATGACAACCAATAAAAACGGCCACCCTATCAGGAGTAGAGAAGACGATCGCTTGGTTGAAATCCGATTACAAAGAGGTATATACACTACTCCGCGAGCAGCTCAGGGGGGGGGGTAGGTTGTTTACCCCGTTCCAAACAATGATAATTGAGGAAGCGTACTCGTCCCTGCCTAACAATGCGTCAGGCCAACAGTGTCTTGACGCAATACTAGCTGACAGCGTGTGCAAGGGACAATCCATTGGCACACACTTTACGAAACAACAGTTGAAGGAGAAGACAATTAGACGGAAAGCTGCCCGAGAGGCGAAACTTTTCCGCTAGAAACTTTTCCGATTTGTATATAGATTAGGTAAATATGTTGACATTATAAGGTTAGGTTTAAGGTTTTTCAGGGTTAGGGGTTTTCAGGGTTAGGGTTAGGGTCGGTTAAATGATGTTTATTCGTGTATATATGATCAAATAAATTGTTTTATTGATATTTCGATCCTGTGCTCCATATTCCAAATGTTGCCATCCAATTGACATTGATGCATGGCAGTTCGAAACGAATGGGTTGTGCTTCATGTCTCCCCCCTCAGATGTAACTCGTGATGAGCAAGGTCTGCAAAAAGCATGCATCATTTCAACATTGGTGCCAAAGCAACTATTCAAGTCTACAACGCCCTTGGGATAAATCCAGAAGCTTTTTGTGTTGCTGGAATAAGGTAAACTGATCGATTTCGTGTTACGAAATCTAACTACAAGTGGAGAAAGGTTATCAGGGAAAGAAATAAGAGGAAAGGTGAAGAAAAACAGGGAAAAACAAATGCAGCAGGTTCATTTTTAGTACTCTTTGATGTAATTTATCTGCTTACGAATTTCACAAAATGATCGAGCGAGCAAAGATGAAGGCGGAAGTCGATGCGTATAACGCCGAGAATCAAAGAATGCAAATGGTTAATGCAATGGACAAAAATTTACCACCAAAAGATCTACTCTACGTCAAGTTGAAGAAGGTTCCTTGCTCGCCTCAATGTTTAGCGGAAGGTAGGAAGATGCTTAATACAAACAATAAGCACATGATGCAGCAGGACATCTCTAACTGCAAGACTGAGGACGGTGAAGACATTGTGCAAACTGCTGTTTCATGTGATGGAAAATGGCTAGGGATTTGCCTCGTTGCAGATGCGTAACCGTTATTTCCATGGAAAATAAAAAATTTTGGACGTAGAACGCTTGAGCAAGGTCTGCAAAGCATGCAAGAAGCATGCATCATTTCAACATTGGTGCCAAAGCCACTATTGAAGTCTACAAAGCCCTTGGGATAAATCCAGGAGCTTTTTGTGCTGCTGGAGTAAGTGGAGCCGATCGACTTCGTGTTACGAAATGTAACTACAAGGCGGAGAAGAAGAATAAATGCAAGGAGTTACGAATCGGATTCTGGAAACCAAGAGCAATGTTCGACCCTATTATAGTAAATGGAGAAATGTTGGAAGTGGTCGACAGTGCTAAAATCCTTGGTCTGAGTGTTTCTATCAATTTGAAATGGAACAATCACATTGACCAAATTATATTGAAGGCCCCAAAGCGTCTCTATTTTCTCTCCCAACTTAAGAGAGCGAGAGTTGGCACGAAAGAACTTGTTCTATTCTTTACAACGTGCATAGGACCAATCCTAGAATACGCAAGTCCTGTATCCCATAATGGTTTGACAAATTACCTCAGTCAGGATTTGGAGCGGATCCAAAAGAGAGCATTGTGAATTATCTTACATCAACTGGCCTCCAACGACTCAGCCATCGAAGAGACGGTTTTTCAGACAAACTATTTAAAGAAATAGTGACTGATGATAGCCATAAGCTTTATAATCTTCATCCACCACGTAATGAAACTGTTAACATGACTCTTAGATCCAGTCATAGGTTTAACGTTGCATTTCTAACTAACCGTTTTAAAAATAGTTTTATTATACATAATGCATTAAATTATTCGTCATAAAATTATTAGAATATTCTTAGATCCTTTTAGAGATATTTATTTGTATATAGTATTTTATTGTTTTCTTACTTGTAAATATAAGCGTAATTCAACATATTGGCTGCAATGTTTATATGAAATAAACCATCTATCTATCTATCCGACGAAGTGCGGAGAAAGGTCATCAGGGGGAGAAATAAGAGGAAAGGTGACAAAAATGAAGAAAGAGGGAAAACATATGCAGCATGAGGTTCATTTTAAGTACTCTTTGATGTAATTTATCTGTTTAAATGTAATTTATTTGTCTTCAGAAGTTAGGTTGCAACTTTGAACTCGATTTTCTCAAAATGACATCTTACTGACATCGAGACGCTCTCTCTCGTTCGATATTAGTCCAAATTTGATCAAATTTTCGGAATATAATTATTGTAAATAGATCTCAAACCTAAACCTCAAAAACCTTATTTTCATTGTAATATATCTACAAATGTGTTATTTTTTAGGTTTGCATATTTAATACATCTACTGGCTTTCCTTCAAAACTTAACTGTATATCTTGATGACCATCATTACTGTTATTACATTAATCCTGAAAAAGGTGTACTTTTTCATTAGAAGGGTATGGCTCGGTAACCATGGAAACAGCACATATGAAGTTTGTATACTTGGTATCAGCAAGTGACGTTCTATCATATGCAACCGAAACGATGTTCATAATACTAAAAATAAAAAAATAATCATATTGTCCCAGGATCATGAAATTAACCTCGTACATTTACAACGTGACAAAATGAGCAGCGACGATTTGCTAGCAAAATTTGATGAAATAGTGAAGCGATTTAGGTGCGCATTTCACGAAATTATCGAGCGAGCAAAAATGAAGGCGGAAGTCGATGGGTATAACGCCGAGAAGCAAAGAATGTAAATGGTTAGTTAATGCCGTTAATGCAACGTGAACGTTGGTGGACAAAAAATGAAGGCGGAAGTCGAGCGTATAACGCCGAGAATCAAAGAATGCAAACGGTTAATGCAATGGACAAAAATTTACCACCAAAAGATCTACTCTACGTCAAGTTGAAGAAGGTTCCTTTGCTCGCCTTAATGTTTAGCGGAAGGTAGGAAGATGCTTAATACAAACAATAAGCACATAATGCAGCAGGAAATATCTAACTGCAAGACTGAGGACGGTGAAGACATTGTGCAAACTGCTGTTTCATGTGATGGAAAATGGCAAAGAAGCTAGGGATTTGCCTCGTTGCAGATGCGTAACCGTTATTTCCATGGAAAATAGAAAATTTTGGACGTAGAACGCTTGAGCAAGGTCTCCAAAGCATGCAAGAAGCATGCATCATTTCAACATTGGTGCCAAAGCGACTATCGAAGTCTACAAAGCCCTTGGGATAAATCCAGGAGCTTTTTGTGCTGCTGGAGTAAGTGGAGCCGATCGACTTCGTGTTACGAAATCTAATTACTACAAGGCGGAGGAGAAGAATAAATGCAAAGAGTTACGAATCCGATTCTGCAAACCAAGAGCAATGTTCGACCCTATTATAGTAAACACATTGACCAAATTATATCGAAGGCCCGAAAGCGTCTCTATTTTCTCTCCCAACTTAAGAGAGCGAGAGTTGGTACGAAAGAACTTGTCCTATTCTTTACAACGGGCATAAGACCAATCCTAGAATACGCAAGTCCTGTATCCCATAATGGTTTGATAAATTACCTCAGTCAGAATTTGGAGCGGATCCAAAAGAGAGCATTGTGAATTATCTTACATCAACTGGCCTCCAACGACTCAGCCATCGAAGAGACGGTCTTTCAGACAAACTATTTAACGAAATAGTGACTGATGATAGCCATAAGCTTTATAATCTTCATCCACCACGTAATAAAACTGTTAATATGACTCTTAGATCCAGTCATAGGTGAACGTTGCATTTCTAACTAACCGTTTTAAAAATAGTTTTATTATACATAATGCATTAAATTATTCGTCATAAAATTATTAGAATATTCTTAGATCCTTTTAGAGATATTTATTCGTATATAGTATTTTAATATTTTCTTACTTGTAAATATAAGCGTAATTCAGCATATTGGCTGCAATGTTTATATGAAATAAACCATCTATCTATCCGACGAAGTGCGGAGAAAGGTCATCAGGGGAAGAAATAAGAGGAAAGGTTACAAGAATGAAGAAAAAGAGGGAAAACATATGCAGCAGGTTCATTTTAAGTACTCTTTGATGTAATTTATCTGTTTAAATGTAATTTATTTGTCTTCAAAAGTTAGGTTGCAACTTTGAACTCGATTTTCTCAAAATGACATCTTACTGACATCGGGACGCTCTCTCTCGTTCGATATTAGTCCAAATTTGATCAAATTTTCGGAATATAATTATTGTAAATAGATCTCAAACCTAAACCTCTAAAACCTTATTTTCATTGTAATATATCTACAAATGTGTTATTTTTCTAGGTTTGCATGTTTAATACATCTACTGGCTTTCCTTTAAAACTTAACTGTATATCTTGATGACCATCATTACTGTTATTACATTAATCCTGAAAAAGGTGTACTTTTTCATTAAAAGGGTATGGCTCGGTAACCATGGAAACAGCACATATGAAGTTTGTATACTTGGTATCAGCAAGTGACGTTCTATCATATGCAACCGAAACGATGTTCATAATATTAAAAATAAAAAAATAATCATATTGTCCCAGGATCATGAAATTAACCTCGTACATTTACAACGTGACAAAATGAGCAGCGACGATTTGCTAGCAAAATTTGATGAAATAGTGAAGCGATTTAGGTGCGCATTTCATAAGCTTTATAATCTTCATCCACCACGTAATGAAACTGTTAATATGACTCTTAGATCCAGTCATAGGTTAACGTTGCATTTCTAACTAACTAACCGTTTTAAAAATAGTTTTATTATACATAATGCATTAAATTATTCGTCATAAAATTATTAGAATATTCTTAGATCCTTTTAGAGATATTTATTTGTATATAGTATTTTAATATTTTCTTACTTGTAATTATAAGCGTAATTCAGCATATTGGCTGCAATGTTTATATGAAATAAACCATCTATCTATCCGACGAAGTGCGGAGAAAGGTCATCAGGGGAAGAAATAAGAAGAAAGGTGACAAGAATGAAGAAAAAGAGGGAAAACATATGCAGCAGGTTCATTTTAAGTACTTTTTCACTCTCCTCCGCAGAGTCTGGATTATATAGGATTTGTAGGGGTACTTTCTGATGTAATTTATCTGTTTAAATGTAATTTATTTGTCTTCAAAAGTTAGGTTGCAACTTTGAACTCGATTTTCTCAAAATGACATCTCACTGACATCGGGACGCTCTCTCTCGTTCGATATTAGTCCAAACTTGATCAAATTTTCGGAATATAATTATTGTAAATAGATCTCAAACCTAAACCTCAAAAACCTTATTTTCATTGTAATATATCTACAAATGTGTTATTTTTCTAGGTTTGCATGTTTAATACATCTACTGGCTTTCCTTCAAAACTTAACTGTATATCTTGATGACCATCATTACTGTTATTACATTAACCCTGAAAAAGGTGTACTTTTTCATTAGAAGGGTATGGCTCGGTAACTATGGAAACAGCACATATGAAGTTTGTATACTTGGTATCAGCAAGTGACGTTCTATCATATGCAACCGAAACGAAGTTCATAATACTAAAAATAAAAAATAAATTACTCATATTGTCCCAGGATCATTAAATTAACCTCGTACATTTACAACGTGACAAAATGAGCAGCGACGATTTACTAGCAAAATTTGATGAAATAGTGAAGCGATTTAGGTGCGCATTTCACGAAATTATCGAGCGAGCAAAAATGAAGGCGGAAGTCGATGGGTATAGCGCCGAGAAGCAAAGAATGTAAATGGTTAGTTAATGCCGTTAATGCAACGTGAACGTCGGTGGACAAAAATTCACCACCAAAAGATCTACTCTATGTCAAATTGAAGAAGGTTCCTTGCTTGCCTCAATATTTAGCAGAAAGTATGCAGCACAAGAAATCTCCAACTCCAAGACTGATGACGGTGAAGACATTGTGGAAACTGCTGTTTCATGCGATGGAAAATGGCAAAGAAGGGGGTATTGTTCGTTGCACGGATGCGTAACCGTCATTTCCAAGTGAAATGAAAACATTTTGGACGTAGAACCCTTGAGCAAGGTCTGCAAAGCATGCATCATTTCAACATTGACGTCAAAGCAACTATTGAAGTCTACAAAGCCCTTGGGATAAATCCAGGAGTTTTTTGTGTTGCAGGAGTAAGGGGAGCCGATTGACTTCGTGTTACGAAATCTAACTACAAGTCGGTGAAGAATAAAAAGTGGAGAAAGGTCATCAGGGGAAGAAATAAGAGTAAAGGTGACAAGAATGAAGAAAGAGGGAAAGATATGCAGCAGATCCTTTTTAAGTACTCTTTGATTTAATTATCTGTTTAAATGTAATTTGTTTATCTTCAAAAGTTATAGGTTGCAACTTTGAACTCGGTTTTCTCAAAATGACATTTTACTAATGTCGGGACGCTCTCTCGTTCAATATTAGTCCAAATTTGATCAAATTTTCAGAATATAATTATTGTAAAAAGATCTCAAACCTACACCTCAAAAATCTTATTTTCATTATAATACATCTATAAATTTTTTTTTACAATGAACACCGAATTTTTGCCGATTTTGACTTTTTTTGTGAAATCTTATCAGATGTGTTTTTTAGGTTTACATGTTTAACACATCTACCGGCTTTCCTTCAAAACTTAACTATATACTTTGATGACCATTATTACTGCTGTTACATTAGTCCTGAAAAAGGCTCAGTAGCCATGGAAACAGCACATATGAAGTTTGTATATTTGGTATCAGCAAGTGCTGTTCTATCATATGCAACCGAAACGAAGTTCATAATACTAAAAATAAAAAATTAATCATATTTTCCCAGGATCATTAACCTGGCACATTTACAACGTGACAAAATGAGCAGGGACGATTTATTACCAAAATTTGATGAATTGGTCAAGAGATTTAGTGGCTCAGTAGCCATGGAAACAGCACATATGAAGTTTGTATATTTGGTATCAGCAAGTGCTGTTCTATCATATGCAACCGAAACGAAGTTCATAATACTAAAAATAAAAAAAATTAATCATATTTTCCCAGGATCATTAACCTGGCACATTTACAACGTGACAAAATGAGCAGGGACGATTTATTACCAAAATTTGATGAATTGGTGAAGCGATTTACTTACGAATTCCACGAAATTATCGAGCGAGCAAAAATGAAGGCGGAAATCGATGTGTATAACGCCGAGAAGCAAAGATTGCAAACGGTTAATGCAACCTCAACGTTGGTGGACAAAAATTAACAACCAAAAGAACAATTCTATGTCATACTGAAGAAGGTAATGAAGCGATTATGGTACGAATTTTACGAAATAATCGAGCGAGCGAAAATGAAGGCGGAAGTCGATGCGTATAACGCCGAGAAGTAAATAATGCAAAAGGTTAATGCAACCTCAACGTTGGTGGACAAAAATTAACCACCAAAAGATCTACTCTATGTCAAGTTCAAAAAAGTTCCTTGTTTGCCTCCATGTTTAGCGGAAGGTGGGAAGATGCTCTCATACGTGATTATGATAGCGTCGTCTTCAATGACTTCAATCCGCGATATTTTGTTGTCATCTTGGATTATCTACGCGCAAAGAAAATTGCAACTGCAGAGAATCCCGCAGCACTGCCGAAAGTATCTGCGGACCAAGTGAAAAATTTTAATGTCCTTCTCGAGTATCTTGGCTGGGTTGATGAGACTGTTCTGCAAAAAAAATTGATGAAACTGTTCTGCAAAAATTCGGTACGCGAAAGTGAAGGAATTACTCTTCAGGAAGGCGGAAAAGTCGCAATTAATGATCCAAATTCAGGTCATAGATATGTTCTTGGTAAAAATGTTTACCAAAAAGGAATTGTGCGCCTCAAGTTGAATATGGAGTCTTTTCAAAATAATTTGGGGACCAGTAAATATTCATATGAAGGCCTGGTTCATATGCATGGGTACTAGAACACAATGGGAAAGTGTGGAAAGAGGGGTCATGCACGATAAAAAATAGTTTAAATAAATTTTCAAAACAAGATGATACGGTCGAATTGGTCTCAGTTGTTGACAAATATGATCCAACAGCTAAACAAAGATCGCCAGTCATTTTTGATAAGGGCTTTTAAAGACTGTTAGACAGAAGTTTATATGCACTTCAAAGGAGTCAGGTAGTGAAATTACCTATGACAGTTCATCAGTGCAAAGTTTGTTTTTGCATGCAATCGAAACCGGCTTAAAAGATGAGACAATCCGCGCGAATTCTGAAAGGCTACCGTAATTAAATAAGATGAAATAGTAATAATAGGAGTCGTAGAAATCCAGGTGGAAGGATTACTTAAACAAGCTTATCTGCATGCATACAATTGCACGAGTTGACGAATTGTTCACCATTATATCTACTTTTCGGAAGAAGCCCTAGACTGTCTATTGACTTTATATTTGACTTGCCAGACAAAGCAGATAACAGCTCACGATCTGACTATCTGTTGAAATGAAAACGGCAATGAATGAAGCATACCGAAATGCCCACGAAGCCACTACGAAGATGCTGCGAAAATAAAGACTGCGTTGTACAGTCTGATGCATCGGTCTTGAAACTGAAACATTTCCTCCATTTATCTTTATACTTTGAAACTCGAATCAAACCCAAACCCCTCTTGGTACACCGTTATGATAGAGCAAACATTTTTTGAATAATTTAAGGAACAAATGGTTGCTTTTTTTTACATTGTTTGTTTAATTTTATAGTTAAGAGAAAATGCACATAGTGCAACTTTTTACAAAAAGGCCAAGAGCTTTAAGTTTAGTACGCCTAACAGACTAACTGTTAGTGTATGTTAAACGACGAAAACAATAGCTTTGGGCCTGATCAACCCACTCTGGAGAAAGTTAGTTGGTTAATTCTTCTTCAAAGATGATGACGAACTGTTTCGCGTATCGTATGTCGAAGACGATATTTATTTATTTATTTGACAATATTTCATCAGGGTACCCAACTCACAAATAGTGATGTTCAGTGAGGCCTTGAATATGACAAAATACTTAGTCAAAATATCAAATATGTATGTATAAAAGATTAAAAGGAAATAGTTGAAGTTATTGTTAGATAAAACGAGCTCGATATGGTATTGATAAGACGTTGCAAAAGTAGAGAAATAATAAAGTTTATACATACACGGAAACAAGGACAGGCATATGGATCATTGTATACAAGAAGAATATATGTTAGTTTTCAATAATAGTTTCAAGATTATGGGTAAATATAGTGTTTGGTAAAAAATTGGTGCTCGCGGTGATTGGCTGACACTGTTGCGGTCAACCTGCCTATAGTCATGTGGATTTTTCATGTTATATAGTATTTTGTATTGTAATATGGCGAAACTAATAAATAAAATATGTGAAAATATTACTTTGTTACGGCCTTCAGACCAAGCCACGTTGATTTGCTGTGTTTGCTACCATGTTGGCGCGCGCATGATCCTTTAGACATTCTTGGGCTATGGTCCTGAATGTAGCCATTTCCTGTGCGATTTTTGTTCACGCATTTTCATGTTTCGCGCAAATTTACCTTTGATCATGACCACAATCAAAAACCTACCAATAACCCTAAATTTGTGGGCGAAAAATAAGGATGTAATCCAATTTCCCGCTGTGATCCGCCATAACAAAAAATACCGGAATCAATTCTCTAAGACTTGTACGACATGCACTTTAAATGTCACATCAATTTCTTCAAGATCGGTTTCTTTTGACGAAATTCTCTTGCTACAATATTCTTGCTCCAATATCTCTCAAATTATGTTTGGGATACCAGCCGAAGTTTGGCTGAATACATCGAAACGCCAGAAATGGAAGATCGCAAAGTTACTTTAACGCTGCAACAACTGTTTATAAATGTGCATAGATAAAACCGGTTACAGGCATTTCGTATGTGTCTTCATATGACAAGTTTCGTTTGCTTAATTGCGCGTGTGTGTACGCACAACAAATTTTCTGTGACAAATTTTTGTTTCAGTTTTGTCCGCAACGATAGCTACTGCCGCTGACCAACTGGATCAGACGAGCTTTATAATACTTCGCCAATCTTTTCTATGACAAGTACATTACCATGTCATAGAAATATTACTTATAACAGACGAGCAAATGGAACTTACCATGCTCAACAGAAAACATCCAGGTGGAAAAGCTAGAAAGCTAGCCATAGCAACTGGTCATGCTATGCGAATAAACCTGCATCTAGATAGGTTAAAGACAATACATTTCTAATGTTTGAATAATGCAAATCATGAACATTTGCATAGCATATGACCTGTTGCTATTATGGCTAGCTTTGTCACTGATAACAGCGTCGTAGATTTTGAATTTCGTGGTTGTTCACACATCTACCTTCAATGTATTTCGCCATTGCTCTGAATTGGCTGAAAATGGCATTTTAGAACTTCAAAATTTCCCGGGGGGTGCAAACCATGGTTGTACGGGCCATATGCAGATCCTTCAACCGGTAACATATTTTATGCTCCGAACACACTTCAGGCTGAAGTACTTCACGTCAAACACTCACTCGTTATATTCAAGACTTACGACGGCAGATTTTCTGTTTCCATTGTTTCTTGCATATATTGGTAAACAAGTTGATCCTGAAAGAGATACCAAAATTGCTAGACAATGACATGTACTCTGTTTTTTTATCATATAAGCTCCCTATGAAACTGTAAAATTTGATGTCGCTCCGATGCGAATCCGGTATCGTGTAAACTGGGGTCTTAAAGTCATTAGACAGATTTACAGTAGATCGAGGACGCGGACGTCAAAGTCGACGTGAAAATGGCGTTTTGTGCCCATGTATGGATATGCCACGCCATTTTGACGCCATTTTCACGTCGTCTTTGACGTCCGCGTCCTCAATCTAAATCTGTCTATTCAGTGTATACACTGTAATGTTGATTAAATAGCAACACAACTGACGTCTGTAACCAAATTATGATGTACTGTACCACTACTTTTATTCTTCAACAAGATTATTTTTTTACAATTTAAGATGGCAAATAATTATATATATCAGTTTTATGAAATAGTACGTCGTTTTCGAAAATAACCAGGCTATAAAGTAGACCGGGTTGAGGAAAACTAACATTGTTTGAAAGCTTAGAGTGAAGGAAGGAGAGCAGAAATCGAGCTGAATGACTTCTGGTCTTCCGGATAAGATAAATTAAACAAACCTTGTCCGAGACTGAGGGCTTCATCTTCTTAAATGCCGCGTCAAAATGTCTCATCGCAACACCAACAATTGTATCATGTTGTATCCCATCAGATTCATTCATATCCACAGTCATCGATGTTCCCCGACTTCCCCTCATACATTCACGTAACGAATTCACTGAAGCTTCACGAACCAAAGCCGCTAGATCTGCACCACTGTAATATATAGTACAGGATTAGTTTTTTTGCAAACGGGCACCGTGCGAATTTTGCCATTTGTCGTGCTTCTTTTGCCAAATCAAAAGAAAGACCGCGCACCAACCCGACTTCTGGTACTGAAAGACCCGATTCGCAGGAAAACAGTGCGTGCAAAGCAGGCTGGTCATTTCCCATTGTTTAACTGTCCCACACTCAAGTAACCACAAAGACTCGAAGCAACATCCGTGAATCAAACATACAAAAAAATTAATTTGATACTTCGTTTAAGAACACTTACGAAAATCCAAGACATCGTTCATTTGCAGCTATGGTCTGCAAGTCAACATCAGGAAGAAGTTTTGGTTTGCTACCATCCTACAAAATACAGAAATTAGTCGGAGTCTTGAAAAAAATACTAAATGTAAAGGTTTCCTGAATGCGTTGCATGGGTAATTTATTTATTGTACAAGATTTGCCACACACAAACATAAATACCACCAAACCATTGCACAATATTACATATTTTACATATACAGTAGAGACAGGGACTGACCACATAATCTCCAGTAACGGGGTCCCAAACAAATACTAACAATACATCTACATAACTATTGGCTTTGGCTAACTGTCAACATGTTCTTAAAGATAAACTAGCGAGAGGACGAGTTGAGTGGCATTTGGCGCACACTGACTTAAATGTTCTTGGGTTGTCCGGGTTGTAAATATGTTCTAAAAAGTCGGAGTTAAATAATGAGGATTTGAAGTAAACTAAAGATCTCGAAGTATCACGTATGTCGGCAAGAAGAATTTTCCAAACGCTAGGAGCTCTCACATAGAAACTGTTCTGGTAACTAAAAGTCATGCATTTGGATTGATTTTGTAAAATATATAAGGATCAATAGTATTAGTTCTTTGTAGAAACTATAGTATCGATATATCAACGTCATTATTATTAATACACTCAAAAAGATGGACTAGATTTAGGTATTCTTGCCAGTAGCAAATCGAAAGAATGCTAAGAGACTATAAGAATTTATCATTTAGATAATAAAAAACAACAAATAAGTAAACTCTTGCACCCTTCGTGTGCGTAGAAACGTACAAAGACAGTCTGATTCCTGTTGAGTTACCTACAAATGTGTAAATAAATTACCTTAGTTAAAGTTTGAAGAATTGCCAGTCTGTCTTTCTCTTGAGGCAATCCAACATAAAGTATTTTATCAAGTCGTCCAGGCCGTAGAATTGCAGGATCAATAATATCTGAAATATTTACGGATGATGTCAAATCACAAACCGAGATTTTAAAAAGTCATATATTTTATGCCAATACAGAAGGTTATATATATTCATCAAATGAATATGCTTTTCAAATTACGATCCTTCGGCATTGGATCAAGAGGTAGGGTTGAGCCAGTCTCAGCCTTAACCCTCCCCCCCCCCTGTAGATCATCGCGTCTTTTCGAATAAGTATGCTAAACCGTAGGCCCTCTGAGAAGTGAGACCTTTGTCAAATGGCCTGAAAAAGCCTGTTAAGTTTTTTCATCCATTTAACGTAAACATAATAAATG